TGTTAATGAGGGAGTTTTTCCTCTCCACAGTCGCCTGTGCTTGCTCATTGTGGGAACTGTTGGGTTTCTCTATGTTAATATTGTTTTAAGGTCTTGACCTTTAAATGTAAAGTGCCTTGAGATAATGTAAATTATGAKTTGGCGCTATATAAATAAAATTGAATTGAATTGAATTGAATTCAGCTGCAACATGAAACTTCAACACTAGATATCACTGAATTCTAAACACTGTCACATTAACACTGACAAAAAGAAACAAAAATAGATTCTGCAAATAAATAGTTTGTAATGAGCCCTCTCAGTTTTCAGACAGAGCTTCAAGAAGTCTGGTTCCTCTCCATCATGGTGTCTACACCTGTGAGTGAAGTCCCAGCGCTGTTACTGTGCGGTGCTGTGTAGTCCCCCGTCCAGATGGGGGCGTGGCAGCCGGAGTGTCGGGACCACGCAGGAGCCGGTGTTTCCTGGAGAGTGGATGTAAACAGAAGGACGTCCCTCTCTGGAGACAGCAGCGCAGCAAGCATGAGCGGACTGGAGCCGTTGACCGTGTTTGTGAACGACAGGCTGACAGCGGCGGGCGAGGAGATCCTCCGCGCCGTCAGAGACGCGGTGGTGGAGTATCAGAGTGAAATCCTCCGCTCCAAGCAGGAGAACGAGCGGCTCAGACGACTCCTCAACGTCGCCGTCCAGCGGCTGCTGCTGCAGCCAGGTGAGCCCCCGCTGCGCTGTCATCGATGAGCTCTGAACACGAGGCCACATCCCACTCAACATACATCCGTTCTAATGGAGCTGGGTCATTATGTATGATGATGATGAGGATTCCATCCACCTCTCAGGAACTGACCTGACAGACTCACTGGTTCAGGGTCACCACAGATCTCATTGATACATATGTTTAGGGTTTCAACAAGTCTTATCCTACATTAAAATGCCATTGTGGAATATTCTCAAACAACATCAATCATTGTAGTTACGTTATGCCAACACAAGCCTTCAAATCATGAACCAGCTGAGAAATCAGCACAGGACAAATACACTGACAAGGCACAATTACTTCTACTAGCACTAAAGACACAGAACAGCAATAGCACATTAAGATAATCACGCCGTCAAAAATAAATCTGGATTTGTATGGTGGAATAATCTATGTGAATGGACATGTTAGCGGGTCATTTTGATAAAAAAATGTACATAGATGTTTGGATTCAGCTTTGATTCATACATTTTCACATAGACTTACTACAGAATCATTCCAGAATACAGCAACACAATATAATCTTACAATATCAGCAGGAGATAGGAGTTTACAGTTGTGTCAGTGAGTTTACTGAAGAAGCAGCATATTTTTTAATAGAATTATAACACAACATTCCTTTGATTCATCTCTCATAAACTCAAAGAAAGTGTTTATATGGAGGTGTTATTTAAAGGTAAATAGTCCTTTAAAAGTCTAGTGGGAATATGACCTAAAAGACGATGGTTTACATGAAGAAACTGTTGAACCCAGCTCAGACAGATCTACAGAATTTGTGATTCACTACCTTCTTTCTCTGACCGCTAATGTGTTGAGGGTTTTGTACGCAGTGAGGCTGCTGCAGCCTCAGTGTCGTGTGTGGGAGTAAAGTTGAGATAACCGTATTTAACTTGTATTGACACATGGCAGTGCAGTATATCACAAAGGAATTATTTCCTTAATTTGGGGGAAGTGGACATTTTTTGATTTCAGAAAAACAGTTGTGATCTGCTTAGAGAAATGAAAAAGCAGCAGGACCATGTAAAAGCTGAAGTTAAACCTTATGGTCAGACCACAGAGCCAAGGTATGATACGTTTTACCTGAAGAAATTAACCTGATAGATGTTCCCTGCAGGTCAGGGTGAGACATTCCTAGATGAGACAATGATATTTTCATTCAGAAACACCTGACTGTGATGTTGGTCACCTTTCAGAACCTCACACTCTCCAGCCCAGAGAAGATGGCCAACCATGTGAGTGGAGGAGCAGTATGGAGCTGCTGCCACAAGTTAAAGAAGAACCAAACATCACAAACTCAGAGGAGGGGAACTGTCATCATGCTGAGCAAATACAAAGGTCACATCCTCCACCGGCTGAGACTGTCTCCCCACCTCCACTAACATCCCAGGAGATAAAGGCAGAGAGTGACAGAGAGGGCGACAGGAATCACCAGCCAGACGACAGTTTATCACCCTCTCTGACTGTTCACCCAAATTGCAGAGTGGCTCAGGGTGATTCTTGCGCCAGCACTGCAAAGAGTCACAGGACTCAGAAAGCAGACCAGCAGGTGAAAGGCTCACTTCGCTCAAATGCAAAACAGAGTTCTCACATCCTGCAAATAAAAAGTGTGAGATCCCTGAAGCCTCCTCTGTCTCGCTCCTCTCACCCAAGTCAAAGCATCCAGAGGTGGCACAGCTGTAAAGAGTGTGGGAAGGGCTTCAGCTTTGCCTGCCAGCTGGAGGTCCACATGCGCTGGCACACCAAGGAGAAGCCATACAGCTGTGCAGTGTGCCGGAAGAGCTTCACCACGGTCAGCATGCTGAAGAGGCACCACCGCATCCACACCGGAGAGAAGCCCTTCCGCTGCCACGTCTGCGGGAAATGTTTCAACCAGTCGGCGCACCTCAACACCCACTTCAGGCTTCACACCAGAGAGAGGGCCAGCTGGAGACAAGCACCACATCCAAAGTGAAGTCTGAATAACAGGGAATGAATCTGTTAACTGTAAAATGCCTGACATGTCCAGCTTTCTGCTTCAGACAGTGTACAATTATGGTTGGTGTATTGTTGTGCAATAAAGCACTGTATATAAAGATTTCTGATCCATTGATTCTGTTGTTTATCACATCACCACCAAATGTGTTTAAAGGACAGATTTGTTCAGCATTTGACTCACCTGTTTCATAACTAAGATGCTTCTATTGAACCAAGGCCCTCCACAGGATCAGAGACATGGTGAAGACCGTGGGAAACTTAAGTGAGCGCCACCAGCTGGAAGTGAGCTGGAACTGGAAAACTAAATGGAAAACTAATTTCATCATTATAACTGTATTAGTTAAAGAAAGTTATACTATCTGAGTGAGCTAAGTCAACCAGGAATACATTTAATTTTGATGAAGCTAAACCTAATAGGCAACTTTTATTGTGTAAAAATAGAATGAAAACTTAAAGGGGATATTTGCCAATTTGTAAAAGATGTTTTGTTTTGAATTTGATCAGACTGAACCTGGTATTCCATATTCTGAATTTGAAAGGTGTTACCTATTCAGGATGTACCCCACCTCTCTCCAGATGCCAGCTGGGATTGTTTCCAGTAGCCCCTGGACCCTCAAAGGAAAAGCTGAATAGATGATGGAATGGATGGACGATGGATCAATGGAAGGTATGAATAAATATTTGAATTGAATCCAATTTTAAAGTTGAGTAGTGTTCACTTTTAGCCTTGTTCATCTCTTGATAAGGTAATTTTTGATGATTACATACCAGTCACAAAATAGAAAGTTACTTATAGTAAAATATTTGATCATACAACGCTGGTAAGATGTGCATTATCATTGTAGTGATCATGTGATATGCTTTATAGCACAAAGTGGGGGGCCAGACTAGAGCCCTCTATCTTCCAATGTCCATTTCATATAATGGGGAAAATAACCCTTTTGTTTGAAGCACTATCTGTAAGACTTGGTCACTGCTACAGTTTATGTCCACCATGATGGGATAATATGATAATGCTGACATCTGCTGGAGGTTCACTGTTACCGGCACTTGGGGAAAATGACAATAAATAAGCTTCCTCTCTGTACAAACATGAAGTTGATCCTGTAATCTTTGTTCAGTGTTACTTTGTGCAGTGGTCAGTTAATAACTGAAATCCTATATGTGTCCTCATTGACCACACTGTAAATCTACCCTGTAGACACAGCTGTTGCATGTCTGTCTGCCCTGGAAGGGAGATCTTCTTCTCTGTGGCTCTCCCTGAGGTGTCTTCCATTCTTTTCTTTTTTATAAAGTGTGAGGGTCTGAGGACAGCAGATGTTGTGATGCTGCACAGATTGTTAAGCCCCTTGAGACAAATATAAATACAATTTGACTTGACCTGACTGAAAATAGTTATACAGTTACACAAATTGTGTTCTTTAGGCTTTTTAAAATAAAATAATGGATAATACATCAAAGTGTCAAGTCTCAGCTTTTGGCCCAATTTTGGCCCTAACATTCGCTGTGATTCAAGAATAAAGTGACTTGATTGTGGTGGTCAAAGGTCATTGTGACCTTACAAATCACACTTTTGTTCATAACTCAAGAAATAATGAGCCAATAATGTTTCAATTTCACCCAAATTTCTGATCAGATAAAATGCTGAAATGATGACATTTCATCGTTGTGGGAAGCGTTGGGTTTCTACCTAAAATAGTGTAGAGTATTTCAACTACAATGTAAAGTGCCTTGAGATAAGGTGTGTTGGAATTTGGCACATTCAAGAAAAATTGAATTGAATTAAACTAAGGAGCCCACATTAAAACAGGTAATTATCTGCACTGCAGAGTTGTATTCACATGATAAGTGTGAAGGATCAACCTTTTATAATTTGTAGCTTCTTTGCAGAAACACCTATATTTAAATCCATGTTTTCGGCTGTCATGGCAACAACTGTATGTTCTATCTATTCTATCCTAGAGGAGACTTGATTGGCCAGTCATGTGAACACACACAAGGAGTTTGACTGTTTTTTCTCATAATGAACTTACTAATACTGCAGTCATATCACATAACAGGTACAGCAGAGTCAAAATTTTATTTATTTTTCCATACAGCACAAATCAATAAATTACCAAAAATAACACTTATAACAGTGCAGTGCTCTTTCTAAGCATGCCTGTGTGGAATGGACTGTTTGCTTGAGCTGTGGTAATGCTGGTATGCTAGTAATTCTTGACAAGTCCAAGCCGCTGCTGCTATAGAGCGCTTGTCTAGTCTTAATTCAATTAAATATTAATATAAAAATGTGTCAGTGATGACAGTCATGATATGTTTTATTGTTGTTCAGTGGTAAAACAGATTTTCTTCACCACTAAAATTATTTTAGGCTCATCTCTCCTCACTCTCCAGCTCATTTACTACTTATTCGTTTTCCTGTGTGCACCTGCTTTTTATACCCAACTAGATTTTTGTCTATATCTAGATTTTTGATTTGATTTTACTCCTCATACTGACATTAATCTCCAACTCAGATGGCTCAGACTGGACTGAGTTGCCATTTAGACTAACATTGAAACAACACAGAGCTAATTAAGAAACATTCAGGCATTTATGTGTACATCATGTAGTGCAATCTTCTCAAATTTATGTTCTTCCTACAGATACTTGGGAGCTAGAACCCTCAGCTACAAGGATCCTCTCCTGTGGAACCAGCTCTCAGTTTGGTTCAGGAGGCTTCACTACATTGACGGTTAGATTTAAAATGTTCCTCTTTGATAAAGCTGTCTGGCTGAGGTTAGCCCTGATTAGTTATGCTGCTATAGGCCTGGACAGCTAAGGGAACTTTCATCAGGCACTAAACACTTCTCTCTCTCCCTCTCTCCCCTCTTTTCCACCCATCTCTCCTCTCGTCCCCATTTTTCTCTGCTCACCCCAACCAGTCGAGGCAGATGGCCGCCCACGTTGAGTCTGCTTCTGTTAGAGGTTTCTCCCAGTTAATGAGGGACTTTTCTCTCCACAGTCTCCAAGTGCTTGCATATTTATATATGGGAACTTTTAGGTTTCTCCATTATACTGTAAGGTCTCCACCTTACTATGGAAAGTGCCTATAGATAATGCATCTTGAGATTTGGGTCTATACAAATACAATTGAATTTAATTAAACACAACCACATGCACTTGTGGTCTCTGTTAGTGTTTAGTAGTGGGATCCTCATTTATCATGTTTGTGTAGCAGCATAGTAATGGGTACTTTTTCTTTCACATGTGTGCTGGATGGAAAATAAAGATAATTATAGATGTATATTATTTGTCCACTGTCTAGTCAAGTGTCACATTTTTATACAAATACCTCTGCAGATACTCATCAAATATTACACACTTAATTATTTTACGCTTATTATGGTGATGTTCCTCAGTTACATGTGGCATCTATTGCTCTTCTGTCCATCCTAGGAAAGGGATCCCTCACATGTGGCTCTCTGGTTTCCATGTTTTTCCCCCTATTAAGAGTTTTTTTGGGTAGTTTTTCCATTCTCTTGTTGAGGGTTAAGAACAGAGGATGTCATGACTTGTTAAAGCCCTGAGACAAATTGAGATTTGTGAATATGGGCTATGCAAATAAAATTTGATTGATTGATTGTAAACAAAATTGAAAATGTCAAAAGAGAAAAAAAACGAGATGTTTCGGGCTCTCTGATGAGGACACCTGTGTAAGTATTCTCGTTCTTTGGCCCTTTGGTGACAATGAAACAACTGATTCATTTTACAAAAGCAAAGCTCATTGAACCCTTCTGTGCCATCAAAGTATCAAATGTCGGACGAGTTCAGATTAGGAGTGAGCAGATGATCTCATGTTAAAGGCAGCAAAGCTCTGCTCTTTCCAAATAAAAGACTGAGAAACATGAGGGAAAAAAGTGATGTGTATTAAACCATATGAATTTTGTGGTACCAGCAGCCCTGACACATACTCTCTGGAGGCTATTGGCCGATTCAGTATTTCTTCAGAGTGAGGGCATTCTGGGTAGTCATCACTGAGGTTCTTATTTTACCACTGAGTCATTTCAGTCAGCACTTCAGTTTCATACTTGTAGTTTTTTTTTTTTGTCATGAACATTCTGGCTCATGTCAAAGGGGCTTTGACAACAAATAGTCTACTTCAACCTCACCTCCACAGTGACACAGTTGTCTCAGCCATGGATGAACTGACACATGTAATCAGCTCTGCTGTGTGTTATAAATGATTGTTTAAAGATCATCAAGAATATTTGCAAATGGAGTCATAGTGTTGGTGCAGGTGATTTACGGAATATTTATGGGTGATACCAAACATCTGTAAATTCAGTATTGTCAACTTTTACCTGGCCTGTGATTTCAGGAGGAAAAGCCTTAAGAAGACAGCTGGGTTGAATAATATTTGGGGATGCTGTACATGGTAAATGGTTTGTATACAGTTTTCCAGTCTCGTTGACCAGTCAAAGCGCTTTAGTTTTGCCACCCACCCAGTGCATCTATGTGCAGCACTTTCTATATCATACATCAATCTTACACTGGTGGCACAGCCAATTTGAGGTTCAGCATCTTGCATAAGGCACGTGGAATGGGGGAGACTGGAATCAAACCATCTCTGAAATAGCAGTTCCTACTCTATTTGTATTTAAGGCAGTAATAATAATTAGTGTTAACGTGGGTGCATCCATTTAACCGTGTGGAGATAAACCTTTTCATGTAGATGGATAATAATCAAAAACAGAGAAAGGCTGCCTCTCAGTGTAATAATAAATAACTGAGACTTAATAAAAAAGGATCCACTTTAAACAGATATCATTCACATGTACAGGTGATTTAAAGGCACAGTGTGTAGAATTGTATGATATCTAGTGTTCAAATTTCATGTTGCAGCTGAACACCCCTCACCTCACCCTCTCCTTCCAAACATGAAAAAGAACCTGTGGTAGCCTTCGATTGTCATAAAACTCAAAAGGTGTTAAGTTTGTCCAGTCTGGACTAATGTAAAAAACATGGTGGCCTCCGTAGAGAGGGTCCCCTTGATGTAAATATAAAGTATTTAAATATAAAGGGCCTTTTCTGGGGTAAAGAAAACTACAATTCATATAATTGAGATGAAATGAACTAGTGGAAACATCATGATGATTATTCTACATTAAATTTCTGCCAATAGTTCCCTTTCACCTAAATCCCACCACTGATGTGAGTTTGGATTAGAATTTGTAAAGTTAAACACATGTTTTAATGCTCTTTTAATTTTCCCCATTTGTTGTAAAGGATGAACTTGGTTGTAACATGTGGTTTGCTATGTTGTGCTGATGTCAAAATGGCACAAGTCACATCTTTCTGATTTATTTTGGCCCCTGCATGCCGACCTCCAGTTACGTGGAGCGTGTGCACGCAGCGACACACCGGGGATGCGCGCATACAGAGAGAGAGAGCAAGTGAAAGAGGGGAGGAGGACACAGTCCACCAGAGTGAGAGAGACAGACCTGCACCGCATTATCAGGAGACAGGACACACGGATATCAGTACCGAGGAGGAGGCGGGTTGTTTTCTGATGCCTCTGCGGAGCTGACGGTGACCGGTGCCGCATTGGGGAGAGGAGCGGCGGAGCAACGCGGGTAAGCGGAGGCTTCCTATGTTCTACTGGGATGCTGGGTAGTTGTAGCTCCCATGGCACTGACGCATCGGGTGGTGTCCCGGCTCTGGCGGGGTGATGATGAGAGGATGCGAGAAATGACAGCAGGACAGGAAAGCTGCCGCTCCAGTGTCATCCACGAGGCCCCGAACCCAATTGCCCCGTCTGCCTGCAGTGTTCTGCGGGCATGCGGTGCGCACGGCCCCCGCCTCTCTCTGCGCATCTTCTGGATGATGCTGCGGTTTTGAGGTATTTGTGCTGCTCTGCGCAAATCGCGATCAACGGCACCAAGTTCCGGTGAAATCCTCGCTGTGTGCATCTGCAGAGGCCTGTGTGTGCGGTGTATGAGGAGGAGTGTCGTTGCAGAGGACGAGAGATTTGAAGGATGTAAAGTTGCGTTTGTTGGGTTAGGCCCCGGGGCTGCAGGCTGCGCTGCACACAGGCTGAGTCAGGTCTGCCTCTGGAAGAGAACATCTGACTGAGGGAGGTGACGACAAGATTGAACATTTCTGGTGATTATATCACGATTCATTTCACAGAAAATAATCACCTCTTCTCTTATATGAGGACGTGTATGTGTGCTCCACAGCAGGCTGGCACATTACTCGATGACCTTGTTGTTCACTTTAGAAGAGTGAGTGTGTTCCTATGAAAGCCTCACACAGTCTGTGTGCCTGACGAGAAGAGTTATGTCATTGAATCGTTCTAGTGATCTGTAATATTGAGTGTCACCAGCTGTCCTGGTGTTTCAGTCACCGTGTTTCTATTGGTGAGCTCCTTGCGTTACTTTATTATACACTTCACTGGACTGATCTCCTCAAGCCATTCAGTTTTATAACTGGATTTTGAAATTGTTCGTGTTGTTAAAGCTTATCACAGCTGATCATGGTGCATGACTTTAGTAACAAGTACAGGTTCAGATCCTCACACTGTAAAAATACTCCATTACGTTACTCAAGTAGAAGTTCACTCTGAATAATAGTCACCATGCAGACTCCTGTCAGTGTCCCATTGTAGATTCATTAACATGACACACCTTTTCCTCATGTAGAGGGTAAACTAGTTTAAAGTAGCATATTAGCTATAATGTTGCATGGTTAAATATTTACAGTGGATCATAATTTATAAGCGTGCCACTTTTTGTCTGTAAAATTATAATTAATAATTAGATGTCAAAAATGTGTTTGGGTAAACATTTGAAGTATTTGAAGTACAAACATTGTACTTAAATACAGCACTGGATCAAATGTACTTTCCAGTTGTATTCCAAAAATGTTTCTGTACAGACCTATTGTGTAGAAAATATTATTTTTATATTTATATTATAAAAGATTATCTACATCTAAACATTTGTGATTTTCACCACTTAAAATGAATCATCCTAAATTTTTTTTAAAAAACATTTAAGACATAATGCTAATTATATTTGCACAATTTTCAAATCTCCTCTTGTGTGACGTTCATATCCCTATAGCGTTCATATGCTGTGGCCTAGATGTGTTATGCTGTGACTATGGGACACTTGTGTAATGAAAGCCTAATACATGTAGCCAGCGGAGACAGATGTGTTGTGCCAGTGAACACACCTCAACATCTGAATGACAAAGACAAAACATATAAATCAGTGTCATTTCACATAAAATATGAAATAAATACAATATCAAATACATAAATGTATATCTATGAATTAAAGTCAAAATAACTTTCTAATAGATTTGTTATTGATTTGAAATACATTTGTGTTTAATTCTTTTCCACAATATGTGTGTGTGTGTGTGTGTGTGTGTGTTTTTAGGCTTGTGGGTCTTGTCTGGTTTGAGTGATTTGGGTTAATTAATGCATACTTTTGCAGGCATTCAACATTTTGGGGAAGCTTAGCCTCCTCTAGCCTCGTATTACCATCACCTGTCTGACAACCATAGGGTCAGATTTCTCAATGAGGAACATTTACAGCTTGTTTTGCATCCAGATATAGCTTTGGTGCATTTTAAGCATGTTGCATTCATCTCTCATCAATTTTAGTCAAGAACTGACTGACCATGAACTGACCACTGCTGACAGTCAGCTCCACCACACAGTAAATGGAAGCTGTTTTGACAGACATCCAAAATTCATGGTGAGAAAAACTTGTGTGTGGCCTTTAATCAGTAAGCCAATATGACACAACCAGGACAGAGGGGAATTCATCTGACTGTTTAAACATCTGTATATCTATCTGACTGAGTCATTTAACTGGTCACCTTTTTGCAGCCTTTGTCACCATATGTATTTGTGTTGGAAAATCTTTACAACCAGTTTAGTCAGTGGTTTCAAATGCAGTTCAAGGGTGTAATGAGAAAAGGAAACGTCAGCATCAACCTC